GTACATGATTTAACCTCACTGTTCTTAATGAGACCATCATACAAAGCCCCATTGCTTTAAGCAGCTCCTCACAAGAATACATTTCCTATTCCAGGGGCCTGGAGTTTTGACACAAAAGGCAGAGAACAATCAAGGCTGTTGCAGGTAGCCTTGATTCTATCAAATTCACCTTCTTGGTCCCTAGTAGGTGTAATGGATTTAACATGTCTCAGCGTAAGCCCTTTTCTTTTTTTAACAGACTTCAGAAGGATATGGCAAGCAGCCCTGCTGCCTGCAGTGCATCTCTCAGTGGGACACAAATGAAGTTGTTTTCAATCGACGGAATAACAGCAGAAATGGGTCAGAGGCTGAGACAAAGCATTTGGTAGTTCTTGTGTTTTATGTATTTCCAGGATCTATAGGTAGAGCACCTACATGCAATAGCTCCCAAGCTCCCATTTCATTTGTAGTAGCTCTCTGGTTCAGATTTTGAGTAGAGCCATAATTCCAAAAGTAAGATTATTAATTATTGTGATGGGCTTACAAAAAATATGCATCAGATTTGAGATATCACAAGTAATCACCCTTCAGCAAGTAATGACAGAAACGGGAGAATGTGTTTATTTTAACATGCACAACACAGTAAGTCTCRTTCATCTCAAAAGAAGTGAAGAAGAAGGCACGTTTCCTCGGACATCATGGAAGATGATGTCTTGTAAATAACTTTAAGGAAGGCTTTCAGAACAACCACAGAGGAAGCATGCAGATGATTTAGCTCTGACATATCTAACAGACATGTAAAAAAAAAATTCTCAGCATCCAGCTGTAAGACTTGACTATTTTGCAGCACACTTCTAAGAATGGCAAGAAGTCTGAAAAAATATATAGTTAGTGGGGAAAAAGACACTTGAATGAAGCGGGGAGGTGCAAGGGACAGACCAACAACTGGAGGGGGAATTTTCCCCACGGCAAACTGAGAGATGATTGATGTGCAGTGCTGCTTCTTTTCCCTCCTCATGGCAAAAGGACTCATCAGTTGACAAAGAGCATGATGCAGGCATGAATCAGAAGCCACATTTCTGAGAAAACATCTACCAGCAGAAAGAAATAGGTGGAAAAAAAAAACATTCAGAATTATTTCAAAAACCCACAGAGGTGTCTCAGAAAACCTCAGTGATGCTAAGTATCACAACACTTTTCTGGACGCCTTACATGTCTAAATAGTGCAGAAGGTCTCACTGGAGCTATTGCGGATGATAAAATCCAAGAGGTTCCTGATGCTCATAACAAAAGGCCTTGGAGACAGACCTATACCTGTTCTCCGACGACTGTTTTTCATTGCAAAGGCACTGCTAAACTTTAACTAAGGGAGAGTGATAACAAAATCAGGGTCAAAACCAGAACACACTTTCCTCCTAGATACTGACACTGTTTCCATTGAGAGTTATCTGAACAATTCAATTGAAATAATGACAACATGTTGTTATTTTATTCAAGTAAAAAGGTCTGGCAAATAATCTATTTGAAGCACTTCTAAGAATAATTGTGAATTATAAGCATCTTCCACCCGACACTTTTCAAATTAATTATGTTCCATTATTGCACTTTTCTTACTATCAAATGGCTAGTCTGAGTACAGTAAATGGCTTTTGGCACAGCTGGAGAGAGCCTTCACCAAGCCACAGATTTGTGCTGATTTGGTCAGGGACAGAAACAGGGAAGAAAAAGAGTTACTAAGCAACAGCAGGCCAGGAGCAGGAGAAAGGTCTGCAGTCTTAATTGACACTAACTTTAAAAAACAGTACAGCAGTAAGAGASGGATCAAGATGTGAATTTTGCTGCCCTGGAAGAGAAAAGAAAAAAAAACACTTTCCACCCCAGGCAGGCAGCCAGTCTCTATCTGTTCTGGGTTTTCCCCAAACATGCACTGCATGATGCACTGTAAACTCCTCTTTGGGGAGAGATTCAGCACCTTATTCTCAATTCTGAACAAGAAGGTGAAGGACCAAAACACCACTCTTCCATGTGGAGCCCAAGAAACACTGAAAGCATTTGCTCTCCAACAGCTCTCTACTCCTAATATATTCCTAACAGTGATAGGACAAGGGGCAATGGATACAAGTTGAAACATAGGAAGTTCAATCTCCATATGAGGAAGAACCTCTTTCCTGTGAGGGTGCCAGAGCCCTGGCACARGCTGCCCAGGGAGGCTGTGGAGTCTCCTTCTCTGGAGGTCTTCAAAACAGACCTGGATGCCGCCCTGTGCCCCGTGCTCTGGGTGTCCCTGCTGGAGCAGGGGGGTTGGCCTAGGTGATCTCCAGAGGTCCCTTCCACCTCAACCRTTCTGTGACTCTGTTAACGTAGGAAAGAGGATTGCAGTACGATTCACAGCTACATGGACCCCCAAGACACCACAACTCCACAGAGTTGCTATCACATCCAGACATAGCTCTCCCTTGCTCTCTTGCTAACCTATGATTAAGGGGGTCTCCTTTCTCTAAAAGGCCAGTCCAAAGTCTTGCCCAATCACTCATACAAGAGAATTTGTTTAGCTTAAATTGAGGACTCTCTCTAACATGATCAAGCAACGCAGAAATCCTGATAGCTTCCTTCCAGAGCAGTTATCTATTTCCTCCTCTTTTGCTGTAAGAAAAACAGTCTCAGGAGCATGTGATAACAGACCATGAGTTATCACATGAACACTTAAAAATGTAAATGAAAAAGCCCTTGATGTGGAGCTCGCTGCGAGCTGTACCACTGAACAATCAACCTTTATTTGCCTAACGAGCACTACCTTGAGCCACACAAGTTATTTGCTTTAGCTTCACCTGAAGAAAACCTCTTTCCTTTCCAAACAGTACCTTTTGTACCAATGCAAGTACCAATGCAAGCTATGTAATTTTTTTCCTAAAAACAAACAAACACACACAAAACACCCACAACGAGAACACCAAACACAGTACCTTGTACTACTGATCCTTCCAAATAATGATCTTTTCTTCCCATTTCTCCCTCCTTTGATTTTGCACTTACTTAAGTACACAGGATTTAAGCATTTACTGATTTTCCCATGTACTCCAACGCACTTAGAGTACAAAACCACAAGAGGGAAAACTACTGGGATGATTGTTGTTGAGGAGGAAAAACCAGCAATCCAGGTCTGGTTCACTCCAACTGTCTGATGATCGGGATTACAAGTGCTGAAAGTCAGAGTCATCTCCTGCTCCGATTTGCACTGTTGCAAGTCAACTGAGGTTATGAAATAGAATCTGGCACCACGGGGAAGAGTGTCCGTCCACAGGATACGAGTAATAGCCACTTGAGTAAATGCAAGTTACTCATATCCTGCTAATCTGTCCTGCACATTCATGCACATTTTTAGGTGCCTCCAGGAATCTGAAAGCGAATCTCACTTGTTACTTAATGAAACTAATTTCACTAGATGTAACGCAGGCATCCTGAAACATTGCTATTACTCATCCAGGAGGTGCAATCAATGCGGCATTTCTTTAATTCTGTTTGATTARGGTCCACGTCTCTGTTTCCATTCATCACACAAACCTCAGTCTCCCTGGCTGGCTACAGGAGCGTTCCCAAGCCATGCGCTCCAAGTCTCAAAGAGCGAGTGGACCTCCCCTTCCTTTATCCAGAAAAATCTTACGTACTCTTCTTTTACAAAAGAGGTGGTAAACTGTACACTTTCCTTGCAGCCTGAAAAAAATCTTCCTGTTTTCAAAACAGAAGCAAATGAAGAATCTTTATTTCCTCTTGCTGCAAACATTTTAAATAACAGACATACAGTGACCAAATGGCCAAGCTTCCTGGGCATTCCAAATACAGTATACMCACTTGTACACTTCAAGTTGATATATACAGCCATATACATACCAGATACAAACATACACAGGTGTGCATACCTACACATACACATGCACATACATACACATTTTCAAATATATGTGGTGACATTACACTAAATAAGAAATTAAGATATTCCAGTATATGGTATTATTAGACATAGATCTCAATAAAAGCTGTAGAAAATGAAGACATAGTCTTTAAGGAACTGAAGGCACCAAAGTGTTTAGTGATCAGGCTGCAAAGAGCCAAGCTCTGACAGAATTAGCAACAGTTTCAGCTAGTCTATGAAGTCAAGTATCTGATGATGGGAGAATAACAAATTTATCAGCTCTTTATCAACCCCAGGCCTATTAGCCTGACTGCAGCAGAAGGCAAGAGGTTTTGAAGGGAACCATCAGAGAGGGAGTGGGCACGGGATAAGACCCAGTACCCGTTAATCAGAAGTAGGAAGTGCCAGGCTAACGTGACAACTCATTTCTAGATAAGGAAAGTGCAGCAAATCTAATTTGGACCTCAGCAGGCACTTGATACGGTGCCACATGGCACTGTAACTCTTACTGAGTTAGGGAACAACGCAGACAGGGGTACGAGATTTGCACAGTTAGGAAAGCAGCACGTGCTCTTCGGCCGGCAGGTAACACCACGGTGCTGGGGAGCAGTGGGATGGAGGGSCACGTCTCTAGGAGCGAGTGCCCAGGTTTTAATGCTGGAAAATGACAGCGCTGGGCGCTGCGGAGGCCGGGGAGCGCGCAAAGCTCAAGTGCAACTCGGGGGTCGCCCGGGCCGGGGCTCCCCCGCGGCTGCCCGCTGGGCCTCGGCCGCGCGGCCGCTCCGCGCTCCCYACGCGCGCGGGGCCGGCGGCACCGCCGTGCTCCCCTTCCCACCCTTGCGCCTCATCCTCCCGCTTGCAGGAGCCCGCAAGCGCCGCGCCGAGCGCGCGGCCAGCAGCGCGCTTGGCCCGCGTGCACGAGCCCCGCGTGTGCGCGCGGCCGGGCGCGCAGCGGCGGCGGAGGCTGCAGGCGCGTCTGCAAGCCCGGCCCGGCGCCGGCCCCGCGCTTTGCCCGCCGCCCGCTCCGCTCCGCTCCGCTCCGCGGGGCAGCCCCGGCCCGGCCCGGCCGGCTCGGCGCGGGCCGCGTGTCCCGGCTCCGCGGGGCACCTACCTGCCAGCGCGCCCAGGGCATCCTCGCTGTCGGGCGGCGCGCGGTGCTTCGCCCCTCGCAGCTCGCCCTTGGACTTCCAAACCAGCTTAACCATCTTGATCATGTCGGGCAAGTCCCAGGCCAGGGTGCCCTGCTGATAGGCGGGCAGGCTGCCCATGGGAAAGGGCATGGGCTCCTCCGCCGTCCTGCGCCGCCGGCCGGGCTCTGCGGCGGGCAA